CCACCTCGGAAGGATGGAAGGCTGAGTCAACCTTGAGCCGGTGAGATTAGAACCGCTGAACTACAGATAACAGTCAGCTGAAGTGGCTGCAGTACTGCACCCTAACCACTGCGCCACCTCGGCTCTTCTATACAATATCCCTTCTGAAGGGATATTGTGACAACCACAACTATGAGAATCGGTCATAAGCCCCCACATTCAGTGCCATTGTAACTTCAAATGATCGCTGAACAAATGGTCACTAAGTGAGGATTGCCAGTAAAGTAATATCAAAATATTTTTTCCCCCCAACTCAGACACCAGACAGGAAATGGCTTATTTTTGATGGACCGGTGGATGCTGTATGGATTGAGAATATGAATACTGTGCTAGACGATAACAAGAAACTCTGTTTGATGAGTGGCGAGATCATCCAGATGTCACAGCAAATGAGCCTCATTTTTGAACCAATGGATTTAGAAGTTGCGTCTCCTGCTACTGTAAGATTACAGACTAAGAGATGATTTCTTGCTACTGAATGATTATCAGTTGTCTTGAAAAAAAGAACTTGAATTAGAGACCTCAAAAATTATGGTTTATCAACCCATTTTCTTTTATTTCATTCAGTTCTGAGGGAGTAAATCTGGAACTGAAATAACACGTCCTTGATTTTTATCTTTAGAATAACAAGTTGGGGCCTCAGGATCTGATGTTTTAGTTCTGGATGGGGTTGCACCACCTCAGACAATCTGGGTTTTTTTCTAGACTTGTGTGTCTCCTGATCAAAAACAGGTGATAGTTCTGACTAGGGGAGCCTTGGCACAATGTTGTGCTCCAGTTGTGCCTTTTTCTGCATCATGATTCCCAAGATTAGTCGCTCAAACTCTAACCATCTCCCACTTGGATTATTGCAACATTCTCTTCATGTTGAAGAGAAAAGGTTCTCTTCACCTTTGAAGAGTATTCAGAAGCTACAACTGTTGCAGAATGCAGTAGCATGGACAGTTCTGGAAGCTACTTGAGTGGTACATGTGGCACCTCTGTTACATGAGCTGTACTGGCAGCCAATTTGCTTCTCAGCCCAATTCAAGGCATGGGCCATTATTATATTTAAAGCCCTTTATAGCATGAGTCACTTTGTGATTTTTTTTCTTGCTGTTTATCTTCAATTCGTGCATCTCCAGGTATTGCAATGTCAATGAAACATACTTTTTTTCTTTTCA